TGATTCGTCCTTATGGAAATAAGACTGTGCAAACACAATGTAATAAACTTGAACAACAGCTCAAAGCTAACTGAGCACAATGATTCACCAACGTCGGGTGACGGTGATGCGTACACAAGAGACGCAAGGACCGCACAAAACAACAATCTATGTTACATGAGAATTTACATGACAAATTAAACAACACAACATTATACACAAACAATGATGTCTGCAGCTTTCTATGCAGACAGAATGTTGTGAAATACTGCACACTTTTTCTTTTCTGTAAAAATGCCGTTTACTTTTCAGCTTTGGCGGCGAAATCCTCATGAATATTCGTTGAATTATTTTCTAAAAAGAAGCATATTAATAAAGACCTGGATTTGGCACCTGAGGTATACATCACATGTTAGTATGCCAAACTCGTCTTTCAAGACCGATCATCTAGGCAAGAGTCTGTCAAAAATGGCGAAGTTAGAAAAAAGTAAAGTAAATGTTGGAACCGCCTAGTAAACAAGACATACCATACATAATATTTGTTTTCTAGAAACAACTTCACAGCCAAATAAACACTAGGTTATAAAGGGTAGAGACTGGATACATAATTCATTTGGACAAGTACCTGTTAAATGTAAATTCGGCGTGACGTCAATGCTAAGAGCATCTAAAGTGCTGATTCCATTCATATTAAAAGCAAGATCTGGATTAACACCGGCTCTTTGTTGCCATGAAAGTACAAAGTATTAGTCGGATTACTATTTCAGTAAAATAATAAAGACAAGTGAAATTGGAGAATCTACAGACAGAAGTCTCAGTACTTATAGATTTGGAAATGTTCAGAATCACACTTCTTCAATCTTACATAATATCGATCTGTATTTTCGACTTGAAGTAAGCTAAACGTAATCGGTAAAGACCTTTATAATATTTCAAAGTGCAAGAAAATTAAGCTTACGACCATGACTTAGAACTATAAAACATTAATAGCTTTAAAATATGTTTCGTGTCATAAAATTACTTCGTAATTAATTTCGAAACATTGAAGTATTCTCCAAGAGAACTGAGAAAATGAATATAACATTCATGCAATTAGTAGAAACGGTATAACAGTACACGACTCCATTGTTATTAGTATTACAAGCCATATATGAACCCCTATCGTATTTCCGAGGCTCAAGTCCCAACCAATGCTTAAGTATCGTAACTTTCTTCTTAAGAACAGTTTCTTTTTGTATCCTTGCCAAGGAAATCCTTTTCGTTACATTTACTCAGTCTAATAAATATTTATACAGGTCTTAGGAAATCGATGGAGTCTGTATTGATGATATAAGTTACATATTAACTTAATTTGCCAAACTTTAACGTCTGAGCACATATTTATGTTTGTGCCAAGTTTAAGCCTGTGCCTAATTTAATTATTAGTCATTCTAGATTCTACATTGGAGACAGCATTGTCTTAGTTGGCAAACACGATATAACAATAACGACTTTAGTATGAATAGATATTTTGTTAAATGAAATCTATTTAGTTAGTTCTCACGATCATTTGCTATTGTTTTAAGAGCAAATAGAAAGTGTTGTCTATCTTTCGTGTTTGAAAAAGTAAATGATACCATGATTGTGATTAGTTTTTTATGGATGGAGACAAACGAGCAGACGGATCACCTGATGGTAAGCGATCAGCGCCGCCCATGGACACCCGCAACACCAGAGGAGTCACAGTTAGTCTAAACAGGGAAAATAATACAGGGTGTAAACGGAACGCTTCCGAAAACTCAGAAAAACAATTTTTGTTTTAACATTTATAATCGATTTTGTTTTCATGTTATTTATGCAACATCTAGCTTAAGCAGTTACGTAAAATAGACATTTAAACTTTTTTTTACTATCACCAGTCTTCGTTTTTTGGAAGCGATCAGTTTGCACTCTGAGGGCTTAGTACGAGTTAGTTTTACGTTAAAAGTAAACGAAACGAGAACGCATTCGGCGCTGTGATTGGCCGGCGCCAATGAACCAACCAATCAAAGCGCCGAACGCGACGTTACGTTCAAAGTAGGTACTCGTTTCGAATACTTTAAACGTAAATCAACTACTATGGCCTCTGTATGCTACTAGAATACTTTAGGTTTGCAAACTGTGAGAGAATTGTCATAATGAAGAGACTAAATAATATCGAAAACGAGAACATAATTGAATAAAGTAAATACAAAATAAATATGTAAACCTCTGTCTTCCTTTACCGAAAAATGCCGCAAGCACAATATAATATTATTATGTTTTATTATACTACAAACATTTTCCCTTATTCTATATTACTGATACCTGTTGGCGACAGGACCCGTTTTCAAGTAAAAAATGGCGTAAAAACCTGAAAAGCCTTTTATCAAAATAATGCTGTGTAAACTGTAAACGTAAATATTTTTATTACGCCATTTGTCAAGACTGGAAGCTAGCAAACATTTATTACGATTATTATAAGAATCCGGTCTCATTATTTCACTTTGAAAAAGTTTTATTGCAATATATTTTTGTAACCTATATATTATCACATGATTGCCAGTCGCTTCATCAACGCTAATCTAATATTTTTCTAGTCCTATTTTGATATCTTTCTAGGAATTTATAATTTGTATGAACTAAATAATATTTTCAGCTACTAGATTTATATCACATAACATAATTATTTATGTATATATATTATGGTATGTTATATATTTGCTTTCATATATTTAGGTATGTATATGTCCCATACTTATTTGTCTACCATTACGTATATATTGCAATACTTCTTCATTATAATTATTAAATTAGTATATATTATGTGGTTTGTATAATTATATATACCTTCATATCAAATTGTGTTCAAAACTCACAACAATGTTTAACTTTTACACTTACTATTGTGTCTCTCTGCATCACCCTAAGGTTGACTGTTAGAGAATGCCACTAGGCATTAAGTCCGCCATTGTATACCCATTGTGCAAAAAGTAGAATTAAAAAAAATAGGAATACAAACAACCATTTTGTTACAACCAACGTAATAAAAGTGGTGCAAGTGGTAATCAAAGTACATTTCATTTATTCACATATACAACCAGATAAAAGATAAAAATTTAGTTTTAGCTAGACATATCAACCAAATGGCATTAAACAAAGGCCACGATTTCCTGATACCTCCAGTCTTCATAGACTACAGCTGTCTATGGCATATCATAATCACCTTATTCAATTAGTCCAAGCTTCAAAGGTAAACATACGGTAAAACCTGGCTATAACTCTAACATTCAACCCTACATATTTGAAGCTAATTAAGAAAGGCGCAGTAAGTAATTAGTATGTGATAAGCCAGTAATCGTAATGCGTGGACCGCTTAGCGTGCCAAGCTACGATAATGTGAGCAGTTAGCGATTACCTACGTTCACGGTGTGGTGATGGGAACTTAAACAGATACAAATAATTATGTTTATACCAAGAAACATGGAGTCATTTACTAGTCTAGAGAAATATGTGAAGAATTAATTGTGTATAAAACATCTGTATCTATAATAAATGGCAAGTTTTACTGTCCACTGTACCTAGTGTCAGAAATATTAAAAACTTAACAAAGATTTCATTAATAAACTTCAACTATACAATGTAAATAATGGTTCAATGAATGCAGGTTTTACGTTTTAATCGTTCACATAAACAAGGGATTTAAACCACAATTTCTCGGAAAATAAGAAAAGTAAATCAAAAGTTCTGTCTATATAAAAAATCAATTTTCGAATGTATTTGTCAGTCCTCTGGTGGGAGAACCAAGTAAATCATGTAAATACAAGTGAATAAATAAAGACCGCTACCCGACTCACCCTAAAACGTCGGAATAAATCAAAGAATTAACGGCCACATTTCACACCGTAGTATAGTGCATTGAAAATAAATTTTATAAATATTTAACCAATCTGGACCGGGAACGGACCAATTCAGGTTTAAATTAATCTCAACTTTAAATTATTGAACTCGCTTCACTGCTACTTGAACGTGAACTTATCGTGGATTCGATTCGTCTGCAAATCGATTAGGTAGCTACTACTCGGTTTATTTTTACATTTCCGATTTTCTTTGAACTTAAACGTCTACAGATATCAAAGTATTCCCCTGTGTACTTCTGGATCGTCTTTAATCAAAGTGTTTAACTCATCAGCTTTGATTGGCAACGAGAATTAATTTCCACAACGATGAGCAAGAGATTTAATTGTTCCTTGAAATTGGAATATTACTGGATAACATTTTACTACGTCGATTCTATCTGCAATTTCACTCGTTCGATTATATTATCACTTCAACGCAGCGAGTCTTCTTTTTCCCATTTATATCCAGCCCTCATATCATAAAAGCGTTAGTATATTATTATAATCTGTTATCGAGGACTTCAATATACCGCCAGCTGTGCCTACTTTCAAGTAGATCACTTTACAACATACATCATGTCTTTGGTTACATACTACATATGTCTGTGTTCATACAATTCCTGGAAAGAAGTGATAAGGGTACGTCATTACTTCCTTTTGTTCGGCAGAACGCTTGACCTTCCTAATTTACTTGTGAAGAGGACCGCTTTCCTAATCATGAGCATCCTTAGTTTTAACGTTAAGATTTTCCCGATAGACGAGTGCTGCCAAAAACAGACCCAATGCCTTTGTTGTTCGATTATAAATTTGCATAATTTTGGACACTCTGTGATATCTGTTATGTCGTACTGAAATGTTAGTGTAGTACTTGCACGTAGAAACTGTTAGTACTAGCGTTGATTGACGTCAGGGCTTTAATTATATATCGATATGACCTGGGTTGTATAGGTCTATTGAATCAGAGAGAGTCGTTTCGAGATCAATTTGGAGGTAGGCCAAAGTCGTGTCGCGTTCAAGATGAGAAACTGCCACTAAATTGGCGAACACAACCTAATTAGTTTTAGTCGCATATTACTGTATATGGCACAAGTATTATGGGATGTGGCTTATCTAAGTTGACCTCACCTGACTTGTTCGTGCTTCTGGATGTAGATCTTATGGAACTGGCCCTCGACCGGCGAGATGATGTCGTTTTTCATTTCCATGGCCACGTGTTGAGGGAGCACCGACAACAGCAATCGTTCCTAAGAAAAAAAACAATAAAATAAACGAATAAATAACGTTATTTTTTATGTTCTTAATCTAATCATAATTATGAATTGGTCATCAGATTTATATTTATTAGACGTTTGGCAATAGATCGTGTAAAAAAATGAGTCCAGTAAACTCATAAAACCAGATATTTTAAATCTCTAGACAACAATAAATACTTTAATATTATAAATAGAAAACATAAAAATGTTTTTTATGGCGATTAGCCACATAGAACTGGATTACAATAAAGTTCAAGTGATAGTAGTGTTTTTCCCCGTAATAGGTTGGTTTTATTAAATGTTCCCCAAGGAAACCATAGTTGTTTAAGGCAAATAAAGATTAATTGGTTCTTAATAACCCTTTTTTGAGGGGGGAAATCATCCAATGACTTCCCCTGCCTTATGTTAACCTAGAGGGAGTGTCAAACTCTAACTGACTAAAACCACCCCGTTCCTACTCTTGCTTTTCTAGCCGGAGCCCCGGCAACCCGTTAGTCCTTCCAGAGCTTCTTCAAAATCCTAGCTGTTTGCGGGGGACAGATATATTTAACGGTAACTGCATGAAAATACTATAATACTCGACCGAAGCTTATTAAGATTCTGTTTACATGTAAAGTTAAAATTAACGTAGTGACGTAGTAAGGAAAGACCAGAATAATAAACATTCACTCTCAACAAATTGTTTCTTAATGAGCAAAATAAGCAAAAAAGCTTCATCAAAAATACAAGGATTCGAAAATTACTACATAGGTAAAGAAAATTAAGTGCATACATGCATACATGTGCGTCGATGAAGTTTTTACAGTGTGTATAATTCTATATTTAAATTGTTCTCATTATCCGATCTTATAAAAACGTAACTTGTAGTACACGTCTAGTTACACGATATCTGACAAAAGTTCTAATGGATTTTCAGTTTTATTATTTTGCAATAAAGTTCAAAGTCTTCAGTCGATACTATGATATTGATATGCGCCACCTTTGTCCTTATAAGTGGTGGCACTAAATACAAGCAATTTATTTAAACACGACAATATTGGCGACAAACAACTTTTTCAATACTCGATTAAACACATGAATAAAATCAATATTGTGAGCTCGATTTATGTTTGACTTAGTCAACAACATTTACATAATAATATTATTTCCATGTTTGCAACATAATGGAATTATACACTCAACTGGCTTTGTGATAGACTTGCTTCCAAATGTTTCTTAGTTTTATTCAGCTGGTAATATGCAGCCGTTAATCCAATGTTGCCAGACGCATAAATAAAAATGTTAAATGTCTGTTTGTGGTTAAAAAAATACACAGACTGAGTTTTGCTTCCTTTTATAAATTTGCGTAACTAGTTATTCGGAATGAGTGTAAATATTCCGTTACCTATTTACAAAGATACTACAGAAATAGAATAATTCTCGGGATTTAGGATAAGGAAAAATGTAACGAAACTTATTCAAATTACGTAAAGAACAAAGCTATGTAGACTAGATATTCCAGTTCCTAAATGACGGATGGATGAACAGGACACTTTTACATTAATAAACGAACCAAAAAAATTTGCGCGAGTCACTCGTACCGTAAAATAACATATCATCCACATTATAACATGTTTACGATGTGTTCACTGAGCATCGTTATACGCTGAATGAACACGTTGAAGTCCGAGGTTCAAGCAGAAGTTTTTACACTTTCTCGATCATACCTACTCATGTGTCAGTAACTGTAAAAGCACTATTTTTATGTACTAACTAATCCATTCTAAGTAACGGTGAATTGAATGAACAATTTTTCAAGCGCAAGTTTTTTTTTACCAAAATTGTTAAAGTTGTTCTATTCTAGAGTTTAAAACCAAACATGTTTCGTTATGATTTTCATATTACACAACCATTCACTAGTTTTTTAAATGTGGGGGAGCCATGCTTCGGCACGAATGGGCCGGTTCGACCGAAGTTATACCACGGCCTCACAGAAAACTGACGTGAAACAACGCTTGTGTTGTGTTCCGTAGTGTGAGGTTACCGAAGACCCAATTAACCAAACTTTCCCTTTGTATTAACCCAACATTTTGTTTTTGTTTTTCTACAAATTAATAAAATATTACTTCAATAATAAACCTCCTTAATCCTTGTAATAGATGACGTATTGTGACGTCATAATGCATTTACTGTTAATCGTACATTGCGGTCAATTGCAGACTATTATTTGCGGTTTCAATTAATCACATCCTATGAGTGTTATGTGGTTGTGACATAAGGATATTTTCCGTGAGTCAGTCAGACACATGACGTAGACTTTTTTAGTAAAATGAGTCTTAGAACTTAAAATGCACATGATGGCGACCTTTTGGTTATAGAGTGATCTCAAAAACTTGACTAACAGAAAAATAAACAAGTTGGTTACTTCATCTTTCACTGTTTACTTCAATTTACATAAAACCTTAAACATGGTTCCCTAAAGCCACCAGAAACAAGGAACATAACACCAAACATTTAGGAAAGCGGTTTTTTATCAGACATAATATCGTTAGCGTCATTTTAAGGCTTACGTAAAAGGTCCCGAGCGGAAGATTTTCGTGAAGGACCAAGGAACAATCTCGGTTGAATAAACCACCGCTATTTATCACATTTATATCAAAGACCAATCGGGAAAGTATTGCAGAAATACATTTCCTAAAATTGGTTTCTCTGCGAATTATATCTTTGGTAAAAAAGTGACTGGTATTTATGATATTTGGAATTGGTGATAAGCTGTTTGGTCACAAACGTTGATAAGATTTTCATAGAAGCATTAAATATGGATTACAGATTGAAAGGAAAATTATAAATGAGCTACCGAGCTTAATGTTGTTTGATTTATTCGGTTAGAAGCGATCTGCGTGTTGTGACCGTGACTTTGTACGCGCTAAAAATATACTAAGGAGGTTCTAAAAGTATATTTCTATCATATTTTGTTACTATAGTTTAGTTTATGGGAAGATTTATTATTATCAATCAACTTGCGAAAACAAACTTTCATCTTTGCAAGAAGTATCTTGATAAGAATACATGTCATATTTTAACATCCATAACTGTCAAACACCGCGAGAACACCGGTGACCACAACCTATTGTTCTTTTAATTATGTCTATAATGACGGTACTCAAAGGGTTAATTTATGGCACTTCTATAGGTTTAACCTAACTACTTGTTAAAATCGCTTAAAGAGTAAACTTCAATACAAATTCCTAACACATAAATCAGAATCAATCAAGTCTTGGAAATGTAGATAAAAATAGGAGATCCTATTAATACTATACCGCTTTATCATCCTCTTTAACTATGAAACTTTATACCAAGAAACAAAAGTTAGGTAATAACATAGCTAATATCTTCAGACTCAAAGATAGGTTTTGGCAACTTTTGACTAAGTACCTACTACATGTATGAAGCCTCTCATCAAGTAATTTCATTTGCAAAGGCCGGGACCTAGATTGCGAAACTTTTCTTCAAACTATATAAGGGTTCATTCATTTGTTCCTGTTCATCAAAACTTGGGCTTGATAAAGGCTTTGAAAAAGTCGTCCTTGTCATAACTATGGTAATGAAATGACAGGGTAGTGCAGTATTACTTTCATAAGACTTTTATGGCTGCTTTTTCCATGAGTTTCGTTAAGTCTATTTTCTGTGTACCTAACGGGTAACCGGGGCTCCGGCTCAACGTGCAGGAGAAGGAACGGGGTGGTTTTTAGTCAGTAAGAGTCTGACACTCCCTCCCGCCTCACCTAGGCGATGGAGCAGTCATTCGATGATTTTCCCCCCTTAACAAAAAGTCTCTTTTCTATAGTTATGAGTCCCATACAACAAAGGATTAAGTAGTCTCTGTGCTACAGAATTCGGATTAACATCGAAGCTCTAATAAGTTGCGGCCTATAACATATGGCATTTCTACTGATATGTCTCTTAAACGAACACATATTTAAAGTCCCGGTGTGAAATGAAACTTGTAGAGCTTTTCTCGAATCGTTCATGGTTCAGTAGTTTTAATTAATTGGGTACATAGTTGACACGGAGACAGTAAGTGTTATACTATAAAATATAAGCAAACGAATAACTTAACTTACTAGTTTCTCATTCTCGTCTTCCATGTCGAGTCTGGCAGCGATACAGTTCCTGGTGTCGAGGAAGGCGCGCCGCTGTGCAGTCTCCATCAGCGAGTGCATCAGAGCACCAACTACGTTCACACACACGAACACAACCACGTTACCCACCATCTGTTAACAAAATAAACACATCTATTATAGACACTTATTGCTGAGATTACACAAGATTATGCGCAGCGTGATGTGATTATTTTTGCTTCTCATTAGATTTCAACTTGTTGACTGCTGTTGCATTTGATTTTGGTTGCTTATTACAGAAGGTAATTCAAATACAAAAATCACTGGGAATGCATCTATTATTTTTATTTTATCTGGGTTCTATGTAACTTAAGAGAATTTCGAAATCTGAAACTTTTATACTGTGTCTATAACGATGACGAAGTAGTCTAATTTTCTAGAGAAAACCACTAATATTTTGAAGAAACCGTTTCAACTATCATCTATTGCGCTGAAAACCTCTAAAGAAACAGTCAAAACATAATTATCACGCTCAGTTATATCAGTGTAAATTTTATAAACATTTCATATGATCATAAATCCGTCCTCACGTATTTAGGTCTCCCTAATTCCTTCCGGGAGCTCGCGTTTTAACTCTTTTTAGCTGAAATTATTATATCAAACAAATAAATTTCGTTTTTCTAGTGGTATTTGAGGCAGTAAATTATGTTTTTGACGATACATATATGTCTTGTATGTTGTTAGAAAAACAACTGTCCTGCCGGCGGAATAATGAACACTTTTTTATCGAACGGAACTGGCAACTACGAGAACCTACCATAACAATATTCTATTTATAAATGTGAGAAAAAAGAAAATAAAAAGGGTCGGTTATGTATCGAATGTGTAAATAGAAGCCTGTACATGGCGAGAGGACGTGACGGAACCATCCAATAGATTTGAGAATAGATTGAAATATTTCGTGAAGTGAGGGAACTCATTGAATTCCTTCGACTGCTTTCGGGCCACTTAGCATTCGAGTAGGTCATAGCTTAGTTCAACTCAATTTGAATAGTTTGGGCGCCTATCGTATCATGCTCACGTAGGTATTTAGGTAAATAGATTTGACGATTACCTTTATAAAGTAACAATGTAGTCTTCAGAGAGAGAAATTCGGGATTTAATAATGTTCTTAGTAGATTTTAGGATTCTCTGACTGGCTATAAGTTTGTACATATTGCTCAAATACAAAATATTTCTGCTCTCAATATTTAATATGCTCTAACTTTAAGTGGAAGCGAAACGTTCCATAGTCTCTGCCTACCCGAGAGAGACACGCGTTAGGTTATGTAGGTAGATATGTATGTACCTATGTAACTCTAACAAAACCTTAATTACTCCAACAATTGTCATTACATCACTGTGACAAATGAAAACCGTTTTTAACAAACATTCGCAGCAGGTAGTCGGAAAGAATAACTCAATAAATAGAGCGCCATCCATCAATGTTGGCTGAAAATTGCCTGTCAGAATGGATAGCGGACCAGCCGTGTATACTTTACACTTTATTAAGTAAATCCGTCAATATAATCTGTGTTGTGCAACGAAATTGCCCCAGACGGACCTAATAGAAATGTTCTTCTAACTATCTTCAATGGAGATTCTATTACAGCGTTATCATGCTTCAATTTTAATTTTTTTGCCGGTAAACGCGCAGACGCATTATCACATGGTACGCAATCGGCGCCGCCCATGGCCACCTGAAACATCAGGAGTTACAAAGGCGTTACCGGCCTTTTGGGGATTTGGGGATAGGGGAGATTGGGAAGGGGGTATTTGGGCCTCCGAGAACCTCACTCACACGACGAAACACAACGCAAGCGTCCGATTTCTGTGAGGCCCTGGTATCACTCCGATCGAGCCGGCCCATTCTTGCCGAAGCATGGCTCTCCGACACTTATATCAAGAATCTTTAAATTTAACTTCGAATCTTCCTTTTATGTCCATCACATAGACCGTGGATGATATTTTAATATTTTATGCACGGTTCTTATTCTGGCATTAGATCCTTAATTTTCTAAGCGGGAAATAGATTTTATAGTAAATTTTATAGTCAGTAATTAAAAAAGGTTTCAAAAAGGACTAGCAACACACCTGAAGCAAAATGCAAACACATGCAAAACAGAAATTCAATTAAACATGGCCGGTGCCGGTACACAGGCGTAGTAAAAGAACGCTCGAGGGTTGCCACTGGGAAAAGTCTACATTTACATAACACACAGAACAAAAGTAATACTATAATAAGCACGAAACACTTCAGGAAGCTCATTAATATAATTAGGTTGTTATTCGTTCCTGCCGAGGGGACTTAAAAGAGAAAAAGTATTTTGTAATATCCTAAGTTATTACGATTTAATAGAATAATCTAACATTAAGAGAGTAATAAAAATTTCAAGCTGATGACGCAGAGATTAGGCGCTCCCGTCGAGATTTAAGACCGACCCCAAGAACAGATTACCCTCAAGCTCTTACCCCGTCCGATCTTAGGGAACGACATAATTAATAACGTAACCATTAAGAGTCTTAGCTATGTGGATTAAATTATCGATAGTAAATATTTAAGACTATGTAAGTTCATGTATGTAATGAGTGAACCGTTTCACGCTCTAGAAGGTAAAACTTATTGCGAGTTTCCAGCCGTAATAGGAATCACGACACACCTATTATAACTTTATTGAGCCAGTGGTCTGTGTGGCCCAGCCACGGTGTGTCATATATTTATAGCGCTTTTTAGATAGGCAGTGAGCCGTGGACTATTCACCCAGAGGTATGCAAATAGAACCTGTCGCCGCCGGCTCCGCCTCACGCGCCCCCACACAGCTTGACTCATCTTCCAATTACTAAAATATTCAATGTCAACCATCTTCCGTACATTTCACGGTAATTCAAAATGAGATGAATAGCTCAGAACGTTTATACTCTAAACGCAAACGCCACCACGCCATTTCACAGATATTTTATTCAGCAAGGATGTGGTAAGGCAACAAAATGTAAAAGTAAATTTTAAAATATTAATGTACAATTTTGACCTGAGCTACGTTTCGCTTTGATTGTAACAATAGCGTGATCCATTTATAATTTAAGCGTGAATAATTTCAGTGAATGTCAAAATTGCTCAAAGTTATTCGTAGTATTGTGAAATGTTACTTGACATCCCAACTATAGTTTTAATAAGCATTGTTTTAGAATTAACATTTTTTGTTTCGTTACTTAAGTGAAACTACTGAGAAAAGCTCTACTAATTTCGAACCACAGTTACTTTTACTTTTTTTTGTTTCATTTAAAAAGAAATAAACAGATCTGTTTTTCACCTTATCTTTATGTCAAATACGATAGACCTCCATGAGAGCAGTTTTCCTTGTAGCTGCGGAACTCTAAATCACAAAGTCAAATGTAATGTAGAAACAGTTCCTCCCGCTAGATATATCAAACATGTACATGATCGTTTCACAAGACTAGTCACTTTGACAAGAAAGCTCACCTGTCCGACTACATTACGTGAAATTCTAAATGGCCGCGATCGAGCCGCGCGACAAGACGTGTTTATTAGCATGCTGTGAACACTGGACATGGCGATGGTGGCGCCAGCAATCACTTTCTGATGTACTTAATGATAGCAGAACAGGTGAAGGATTATGTTGAAAGTAGGATTTCTACTTGAATCGCTTGATTAGTCAAAGTTACTAACCGTAGCATAAATCTTTTGACATTTCGACTGACACCTGTTAAACGGTTAAAAATAAGTGGCGATTTACATCGGCACTGACGACAGAATCATATATCGTACAATGCGTGACATTCTGTCGATGTAAAACCGATCAATCGATTGAATTATATGAATTTGCTTCGTGTATTATTCGTTCGCAGCCCGTTTCAGTTGCACACGTTCGAAACACATACATTTTTCAGCATGTTGAAAACATTTGAATACGAATTCAGCGTGCATGACGTAGGCACTTCGCATAAAAACGTGGAAACTGCTTCTATATTTATTACCATCAACATTGTTCTTACTTTTATAGGAATGAAACTTTACAATTTAATAAAGAGAAATCAAAATAATTAATTATTGAACGTGTTGAATGAAGTGACATCAGCGTGACCTGCCACAGCGTGTGAATAACGAGCAACTGTGAATAAATTTCACGCACATTGCTGCATAATACATCATTATCATGGAAATGCGCGGTGAACTCGCTACGGAGGAGACATGTTCCACAAATGTGTTTCGGCTTCCCCTTGAGGCTAAGCGGTGACACGGGCCGACCTCGACTGCCCAATGAATATAAGTATTTTATACACAAACAAATAAAGTGTGGGTGGCGGATACCATGAATTTCTTTGTGATAATTCAAATCGAAAATTCCTGCAAAAATTTAGACGAGTCATAATCATATCCATGAAATAACGGACCGTTTTTGTTCGACGAGTGCTTTATGAACTCCGCGAATGAAAATCACGTGTGACTAAATATATTCATGTATGCTAATACACTATGTTGCCATGTTACTTTTGTGTTATATAATGGACTGATTTTTTTACATAATCGAGAACTATTATCAAACAATGAAAGTTCAGCGAGTTTAAATGATTTTACGATGATATGACAGCAAATATATTATAATTATAAACTTGCACAAAGTTAACTTATTAAAAAATCATTGAACATGATAAAGATATACTCAAGCATTGTATCGTCCTTGAGCCTTCAAAGTGCAACACAGACTTAGGATTAGCATAGACTAGCTAGTGATGCCATTCTCATAATTTCCCGTTCCGACGGCCATTAGTCCAAGTGATAGCGGATCTATTCAGTACGGAAACCTAGCAATGAGTAATGAGCACTCAGCGTAATCTATCCACCGTGAGTACTCCTTGAGTAGCAGGCAAAGCTCTTCAACAATCCGAAAATAAACAAAGAGTTATATAAAATCTAGATGAAACGGCAGGGCTACAAAGGTCAAGCTCGAACATTTGTTACAATTCACGATATCAATCATGTTTATTGCCGGTCCATTCACTTATAGAAGTAATACAGTAAATATATCTAATGATACACATACCATATGTTAAATACGATGTTCAATAATGTTTCAATGATCGATTGATTAGTCATTTGAAATTGTAAAGTGTTTATGATATCGAGACGAACGACCAGACATTTTAAGTGAAATAAATAAGCTTTTTGCAAAGAGCAGACTAAACAAATAAAAGCCATTAAGACTGACAATAAAGGATTATGTTTACAATTTCATTAATAGAGTAGTTTAAATGTACTTAATTGCATTTTTATTGTAAGAGATTAGAAGTAGTTAATTGGCAATTATTCGTCTAAGTTTATTAACTGTTTTAAAAAATTCGAGTGGGTGAGAGCTATTGCCATCCTACCCTTTACATGACCTTTATATTTCCATCAAGGTTAGGTAATAACGTTTTGTGAATTTTAGCCCGAAATCATTGTCTAAATTGAGGAGCCGATGCCGTTTTTATATCGAAATCTTGCTACAACTTCTACACGTGTGGGAGAGCCATGCTTCGGCAAGAATGGGCCGGTTCGACCGGAGTAATACCACGGCCTCACAGAAAACCGACGTGAAACAAGCTTGCGTTGTGTTTCGTCGTGTGAGTGAATTTACCGGAGGCCCAATTCCCCCCCCCCCCCCTTTCCAGTCTCCCCAATTCCCAAAAGGTCGATAACGCACTTGTAACAACTTGGTATTCCAAGTGTCCATGGGCGACGCCGATTGCTCACCATCAAGTATCCGTCTGCACGTTTACCGGCTTATGCCATAACAAAAAAAAACAAGTTCAAACCTTTATAAAGTCTGCATAGACCCCAATCTGCTGAAATCTGGAGATTCCAATTGCTAATTTTAATTTGCTATTAAATCAGTGATCTAATATTATTAATAATCATATTCACCAGATACAACAAGACTATAAATTATCAGATCATCACAAAAAAACAACAAGACGGAAATCTAGAAATTTCTGATAAATACTTAATAATTTATTATTTAGATAAAAAACCAGAAATACAGACTGGATTTTTCCAAGTTCCATAAAAAAATGTACAACACTGTACATTGTTGCTATAGTTAACACGCAGTAAAGAAAAGTTTTCGAGTTAACCGCCCCTTTCACCTTTTAAACTGGAAAACTCAGAATAATAGTGTTCAGGAACATTTATTAAACAGGATGAAGGTAATACTACCTCGTTGGCCGAGTGGTCGCAAGTGCGACTGCCGGGCAAGGGGTCTCGGGTTAGATTCCCGGGTCGGGCAAAGTATTACTGGGTTTTAAAAAAATTCTCAGTAGTAGCACGGAGTCTGGATATGTGCCCGGTATATGGCAATAGGCTCCCCCCCCTATTACATGGGACTCTTAACATAAATAGTGAAAAGTGGGTGGTACTTCTGTGTCCACCTCTGCCTACCCCTTCTGGGCTAAAGGGCGTGATGTTATATGTATGTGTGTGTGATGAAGGTAATACGCATTGAACCTAACAAATCTCACCAAATTCGACCTACAAATTGGCCGATTGATTTATACAAACCAGATGTTACGAACATAGTTACGGCGTAGTAAATTACCATACTATCTGTCAAATAATATGTTACTGTCTTACTATTATGTTACGTGTTTAGGAATTAGTGATTGGCGGGCGTGTATTGTACTTGTACGTGCTGGGACATTTATGAAGGTTCATTTTGAATATTCGTGATATCATATCTGAATAATGACAAGTTTGTACTAAAACTTGTAGGCCTACTTACTTTAGGGTTGTATAGTACTCTTAATGGAAATTATAAATTCGGTTTTATGCATAACGAAAATGAGGATTTATTTTTATATATATTTGATGGGCCGACGTTTAACCACTATCTCGCCTGATGGTAAAAGATGATGCGGTCTACGATGGAGCACGTCGTCCCATAAGCAACCTATTCACTCGGGCCTTGAAGACTCCCAGGTTCAGGAAATACAGACTCTGGCAAAGAATTCCACTCTAGCGATATGCACAAGGAAGTTTGATACGAAGCGCTTCGTGCGTGTGACTAGGGGGAATAAATTTTGGAACTTTTACACAATATCACGCCTTTTATGTCCGAAGGTTATATTATCTGCCTATAGGCACAGGTGCACATTACAGCACTTAATGCCACTGTACAATGTAACACCCACTTCTCACTATTTATGTTATGAGTTCTATGTAATAGAGGGTGAGGCTATTGCCATATACCGGGCACATTTCTAGACTGCATGCTACTACTCACAATTGTAAAACAAAAGTAATACTTTGCACGACCTGGGACACGAACCCAAGACCCCTTGCCCGGCAGTCGCAGTTGCGACCACTAGGCCAACGAGGCAGTTTGAGACTTTTACATCTGCGAAACCAACTAAACTTATAAGGAAAACACTAATGGTAATTTTATCTGAAGCCACGAGAACGATGTCAATAAACCCCAATGTCATGAGAAAGACTTCTAAATTAGAACATTGTAATTTATAAATGTATCAAGGTTTCCTCGTCCGTCAAACTATTGTCCAACAATATGTCATAATGTTTATCGGAAGTCTATTCTGATTTAAATGGCGCCCAGTTTATAGAACGTCGTTTGATTAATTCCAAACAAAAAGCTTTTATGCCTTCAATATGATAGACGTAGCCTTCGTCAATATTTATAAGTGAGTTTATTAATGTGTAAAGTCTTTCGATGCGACAGCCCTTCAAAGTTTTCAATGTCTCTGCCGTGCCATACACTTGAAACGTAAGTAGGAAAAATGTTTAAGTGCCCTTTTTGATGTTTTTGAAAGTGGTCACCATCATCAACAGCCTATATGCGGCCACTGCTGACAAAAGGCCTCTTCTCGCACGGACAAGGTTTGAGCATTAATCAGCACGCTTGTTCAATGCGGGGTTGGCAATTCCAAACTTATAATTAGGCATTATAAGCCCAGGCTTCCTCACAAGGTATTCCTTCACCGTTTGTCAGTGGTGTCTAAATAATCTTAGAAAGTACATAGAACTCGGAAAAGTCTCATTGGTACTTGCCGTTAGGTTTCGAACACGCGCCCCTTATGCATGAGAAGCGGGCGTCTTAAACCTCGGGGCCACCATATTGAAAGTGGTATTAATTTGATCCTGTCTATCTCGGATAGTTTGAATTTCGTTATGAGGTAATTTAGAGAGTTAGGGAAAACGATTAATAAACATTTGGAGTACATGCTAGGCTCGCTCTCGGTCACACGAAACTATAGCAAACATTGCGAAAAATGTTTACTATAGTGTAGCTAGCTTATTTCTGGGTAAAAATAATGATATTGTATTTTGTTATACCTCAAACAGGAGCGCTATTTGGCAGAACCCGACATAACCTTGACAAGAAAGGTTCACAAAGTTCAATTCCCGCGACAGTACAAATATTGGTATAACGAGTAAAGATATTTGATCTACATTCTAGTCTAGGTATCTTGTGTACGTGATTTGGATGTGAAGTAGCTATGTAGTGTAACTTGTTAGGCTGACACACGAACTGCGAGGTAACAGGTAACACATCAAACACCATTCGTTTATCCTACTACTCGTAAAACTAAGACTTCACCTTGCTTAAGAAAATATTATTGCCAGAAAGTTCTCCGGCTCGCTTTATTGCTTGCAGTAATACAAACGACACGCTTTATTTTCAGCCACGACTGTTCCTGATGTGTTTTTAACGATATGGCTACATGAAACTATGTAAATAAATACATATTATTATGTTATAAAACACATCAAACTTCACAAATAGATGAACAATAAACGCAACGTTTTATTGCGTTTTTATTAAGAATTCAAAAAATAAATTCTTTAAATGCCGTCTTTCTAATTTAGAACTCGTTCCGCCTCATAACATTCGTGTCGGATTTATCTTGAGAGTTGACTTAGAGTCACCATACAATGTAGGTACTAACATAGCTCACTGTTATCTAATAGATCTGATTTACATATTTAAGACATGTATTGTTGTTGTACATTTGAGGAAAGATTGAGGGATATGCCAAGTTTGTTTGGACGGCAAAGATGACGTAAGCTTCGCACGCGAGCGCAGGAACCCTTATTATAGTGGAGTGAGGCATAATAAGTGAGCCCCACGGTGGGCGCCAAGAGGGCAAGGCTACGGCCTCCACGGCTTGAAACTACTTAGAGAAATCGTGCAGTTATTTTAATCTAATTTATAAGGCAACGACTTTACATGGCAACTAAATTCAAGTTTAAGTTATGTTCGGGAACCATTACGTGCTTTTGCAAATACCTAAATAAGTTGGAGGTAAGGTGCTTCGAGTTCGCGTCCTTGTTTCTAAGTCGAATTACTAACAATACGACAACATACTTTCTTTTCAAAACATTACTTTGTATTTCGTTTTACGTAATCAATCATTGACCAAATACATTAGCTCGAATTTCTTTCAACAGCGTGTTCAGTTTTTGGCAACGACTTACGCAAAATACGGGTGCCAATTCTTTTTGCCTTATAATAAAAATTAGTCGTTTTGAAACTTCCTAAATGCAGATATCACTATATTTAACGTCTTTAAAATGTTTCAGTTCGAAGTTACTGGCATAAGAATGTTAAAGTGCCGTCTATTATCACCATGATGACCACATAATACGACCGTAGTCTCGGCCATTAGATTTAATGATCCATTCGATACGAAAATAATGACCAGTAATAATAAAGTTTAGCTATATCCAGCAGGGATTAGGACGGAGCGTGTACCTATCTCTAGCAGGCACAAGACGTAACCACTAGTAGGTATTCCGAACCCTCCGAGACCCTAACGACTCGCATTTGGACGTGTGTCAAGGTCAAGTCTGAAGCTAACATATTGCGAGCTAAGCAAGCCTAAGTTAACACAAATGTCTGGTTTTATTGCTACCTCGTGTCGCACGATGAACTCCAATCGATAAGTAGGTGAGGTACTGTCCCTGCTTGGCTAAGCTTGAACATTTTATTACGGAAAATTATTTCGTATATAAACTATGTCATTTTATCATAGAACATAATAATTTATTAATTTTAACATAATTTCAATGAAACTAGATACTGACCTGCTGCCAAACATGATAAGGGAAGCGGTTTGCGACAAGTGCTGACGCGATCGTATGCGCTGTGGGTAGGAGGATGCCAAAAGCCGCGGCGACTGGCGCTCCAACCGGCAGCAGGGCGTAAGCAGCGAACACAGCCCATACGACGTGTGCGGCACCCTCCGCTGCTGCACCAGTGTTCCATGCTGGGAGAGTTGCGGCCAAGGTGACTCCACCGCCGGCCAGTGCCAACCAGCAAGCTCGTGGTAACCGCCTCTCTGGGGCCACTCCGGCACGACCACACCACCACGCTAACCCGCTACATAGCAGTGCGTGCGCAGTCAGTACGCCGACCTAAACCAAAATAATACACAATCATTACATTCTCAGTTCCATAAAGAGTATTTAAACCGATTTGGAATAAGTAAAACCTCTAAGTCTCAACATAAGATGTTACATCTTACTAAGCGGTTGTGTACCATGTAATTTGGCTTACACCACAGCAATCTATTTTCTTTGTATAGTGTCTATAAATTGGTTTGCCTTACTTTCTTTGAACATTTTCTTCAGGCTCGTACATGTAAAACAACCTTGACAGTGTGTTTAATTTAGTTCAAGGGTGTTTTTTGTACGTAAGTACGTCAAACCAAAACAAACTATTTTTAGTTGACTACAAATTGGAAAATTGGACAATACAATATAGTGCCCTGAGGTACACCTAATCATTCATGCTGTTTATACAGTTATTTAGGACTTTGAAGCAAAATAATGTATTAACTGTTTTTATTGTTATAAAATTTATCAGAAAATAAATTCTTTATGACTGATTACATCAAAAGCTTCACCCAAGTCAGGGAATATACTTTACCTGTGGTGCCCTCCGCCAACCACGAGTGGCATCGACAGCGGCGAGTGCGGCGGCGAGCAGTGCCCATAGAGCCAGCGCCGAGCCGACGGAGGTGCGCTGTAGCTTACACGCATATCGCGCATACAACTCCTCCAGCTCGGCTGACTCAAACCGCCGCCGCGCCAGCAGCCGGGAGAGCGGCCCACGCGCCGACATCGCCTTCACCGCATGGTCCATGCCGTTCCGGCTGCCTCACCTCGCTGCCGCGCGTAATACTCCTCGCCGCCTCATCTACAATAGAAAATATTAATTTAACGGCTTTGTTTACTTTAACATCTCGATAATTTGGTTCCCCAAAAGAAAAGCCTCAAGTGAAAAAACACGGACAAATTAAATACCGTCTTCTACCTCACATTGTGTTGTCTTAACATAATAAGAACATGAAAATGGTGTTCGTATGAGTATACTAAACTAACAAAATATATTGTAGCATATATCATACTACCTAATTTTCAAGATGATAGATAGGCAATAAATTTTATTTGAATTACAGAAAGCCATTGATTAGAAAGAAGTTTTGCGTAGGTGGAATTTTAACAGACTTGGCATACTTGATACTGTATACCGTTATTTACGGTATTATTTTAAGTTTTGTGAATATATTGTGCCTTATAGAAAAAGAAGATTTAAATTAATTCGAAGTTAGCGTAGTGTTATTGTATCAGAAGTTCGACAAAGTTGTCAAAGTTGGAAGAAACAAGTGCTGACTACGACAACTCCCAAGAGTTCTTCACTTTTAAAATAAAGCGTGGTATCAAAAATACTGATCGTCACTTAGCCTATCAAATCCGAACCACAGCAATAAAACAACAAAGCTTACGTCTCAGCTGTCGCATTAAGAGGAAGACTTTAGGAACGTTTGAAAATAAACGGAAGAGTGTTTCGTTACTGAGTTTATTGTACACAACAACGAATTATTTGTACACAGCTATCTGATCGGAATCATTACTGGTGACAAATGAGGGAACCTAACAAGAAAGTAAAATAACCGCCAGAGAAACAATCCCCACTCAATTTTAACAATTATGTAATAATTGAATGTTCACAGTCAGCAGTAGAAGTAATTAATTTACATTCAAACGTTGCCTTTTGTTAATTTACCAACACAGGGCAAGTAAGTTAAGTTTAATCAACGTATCTACATACATTTTTACCTGTATTAAGATTTACAAGGAATCTACCAGATCATATTGACGGTATGACATGACAAAGGCTTTGTAAACCACGTTAAGGTTCGAGCGCTTGTAATATTGTGCGAAATGTGGCATTTAAAACTGACAAGAGATAAATTCTCAAAGGGTTAACGAGATCCCGTTTCACCGTCCGACCACCAATGGACAAGTTTAAAGGTGCTCCATAGCTCGCGGTTACGCCACAGGGACACGAAGCAAACGTGCCAGGAACGGGCCTGGACTTGAAAGCAATTCAGCTTCACAACACAAACAGCATATTTAATGCTCGGTTTACGAAAAACATGCGGATAAAAGGAACAATAATAATATTTAAGAATGAAAGCCGTCTAGTCAACAATCTTAAATCCTTTGTAAACAAAACATGGCCTGTAAGTCGCTCCTGAACCAAGTGACTTTTAAGATAAGTTAAACTTGGGAAGCCTGCTTAATAGATTAGCCTTAATCGCGGTGCCGTATTTAGTTGTAGACAAACTATTTCTTAGTTTTGTAGGGTAATCTTTGTTTTATTGATTTGTAGAAAATAGCGATGAGTTGAGATTAAATTAGCCTCCGACACGAGCGAAACTAGACGTGCCGTGACGCGAGGAGACAATCAAATTAGCATAATCGAGGCGCGCGCCTGCATCCGATAGCTAATGAACCACGATACCGATGTTGAAATTTTTATCGTGCAATCACCACGTGTTGGTGTTTTATACTCCAATAAGACGACATAAATTTAAAATATTTTGATTTTCTTCACCTGCACGTGGATAACGTACACACAGTGGCAACGATTTATCAGAAGCAATTTATGCTTCTAAGAAAATGTTGAACTTACCATTTTCCTATTATAGCAATTGAAGGGTAATTTAGCAATCTTCATCTATTTTAAATGGTGCGGAAGGAATACAGAATGTTCAACTTGAGAAGAAATTGTGTCACGCAACACGTTGAGTGTGCTAGCAGAGTAACCCGAGCCACTCAATCAGAATGTCAACCACAATGAGGACTTGGCAACTGCACATAATGTGAACGCGCTGCGCCAATACTTTATGTCCGACGTAACACGTAGTAGAGCTGGCTATTTCCATGGAGAATGTTATTCAAAGAGTTCCATTCACATCATGCTTCAAATCGGTGGTTGATAATTAGGTCAATCTACATTATGATGTATTTATCTTATATATGTATTAATAATGAATCCCTTTTTCCTTTGGTCACAGTATCACGCGTGAATGGGCCTATTTCACTAATTCTTTTTTTGTTGTATTTGTTATTATTAGGTTCGTAAGACAGAAAAAATCCTAAAAATCCTACGGGAATGGAAGAAAACTGGATTGCGCGTACGAAGTCTAGCAGAAACTAGTTGATTATAATATTCAAACATTCACACCTATAAAACGTTCTCAAGTGTGGAAACTTATCACTCAACATAGAATTTTAAAGACATCCGGAGAAGAACGACCGAATACGGAATAATATAAAATAATAGTAAAAGAATAACTGAAACATTTGTAAACCTTGAGGGAACGAAATGAACTTACGTTACGATACTTGAACTAAGTACCGTAGTTTATTCGTGAGCATCAATAACTAAATAGCCCATCTATTCAAAGCTTCTTCAATGTTTGGTAATAGGTACAAACCATTTCAAACGAGTCCCAAAACCAAGCGAGCATTTCGTCAGGCAATACAACCCAATTAGAGATAAAACGAAGCCCAGACATCCATTACGAAGGAAATTTCTTTATCTTTATTGAAATAAACATGTTGTCAGTGAAGGGCCCGAAGCCCGATACGTTTATGAAATTCTGTGTTGTGGTCATTCATATTACTCAATGGCTGTTTAATGGAAACAAATACTGCCGTATTTTAACAAAGTTATCTAAATTGATATTTGATTAGTAGTTTGGAGAGGATATATTTTGACAATAAACACTTTTGTGAGAATGCCGCAAGAAACGGTACGTTCCATATACAATTTTATTTATTTAGCACAAAACAATACGTCTGTGAAATACAATAGGTCTGGCTGACAGTGGTATGAAATACTTATGAGCACAACTGTAGGTACGAACAAACGTAAAAATCTGAAATGATCAAGGCCTCGAGAAAAACAACGTGTATTTCGTATATGACATAAAATAAAAGGTATAGTAACGTAGTTCCTTTTATATGTTTTTGGCAATAGCCGGCGGATAATACACGAGGTTGAGAACAAATAAGTTAGAAAACAGATTTAACCCGCGGGGAAGATGGTAGGAGAGGGGAAGGGGGGTCACGGTCGCCGGGTCAATAAACCCGGCAGGCATAGCTGTGGCGAATAAAACGCGCCGCGACGCCAGCCGCCGACCGACGACTCGAGCCCCTCACGAGCCGCACTCATGAATTTCAGTCAATGAAAGCGCAGGTTGCGACCAAACATACCTTTATTACGAACTCCAGATCCGGTGCATTCGTCGGTTCAAATTGCTTTCCGCTGACTCATAAAGCCCGTATGTATTTGACCGCATTACCTACGCAACTACAGGTAGAAAAACGTTGCACTAATTAATCTAATTAATTTGTAAAGTCTAATGCAGTCTAATGCATACCGTTTGGTTGGAGGTTTGTAATAGCTGACATATCACGATAATTTATCACGTCTGTCTTTCCATAAGTGTCGTACAGCACGTAGGACTTGATAAAATAAAATATTAAATTAATACGATTACCTGTACGTATGTAACTTAATTAATATGTTTTTTTTCTAAAAGAAACAAATAAGTCCAACCCTGGTTTTGCTTACGACATCACTATAAATGTCAGATGAAAACAAACAAAACAAAAGTAGAGAAACCGAATCCATAGAAGTGCGAGATGTAGCTAACCATAAAAAAGATGAAAATATTGAGCATGGACCGAAACCATCTTTGATACAAAAATATCGACTTTCTTATAGGGCAGGAACTTGAAAGAGGATCGGTGTTTTTATAAGAACAAGACAAGATTGGGACCGAAATGGAAGTATGTCTGTCAAAGAATTTAGAAATAATGGAGTACTTTCATTTACGTTGAAAGCTGTTTCCCACGTGAATTGAATAACTGCGAGGAAAGATAACAGACAGCCCCGAAAAGAAAGCAAGCTATAGAAAAACCTTCCAGTTCACATGAAACACCGAAATGATTTCTTTTTATGAGAGAAATACCTGCGGATTATCTAAGCTGTCGAACCTAATTTACAGTTGTTTGTTCATTATACTTGGTCATAGTCAGAGCGCATTGCAATCAATAATGGCTTTGATACAGTTCAGTAGTAACAGGTTAACATACCAATCAAATAACGAGGTGGTATTGATTTTCCTGCTGTGTCCCCCTAATCATCATAATTCCACGGCAATAGCGTTCAATTTCATAATTATTAGGAAAGGGAAACGGTTCCTGTTTACTTTTGAATACGTTATACGAATGAATATACATATATATAATGTTCTACAAATGCTATTAAAAATGTTGATTTAATATACAGAAATAGTGGTTAATTCAGACGTCAGAATAGGTTATTCACTTTGAATTTTACCTCAATTTATTAGACAATAAAATGCAAAGTAGGTTTGTAACATTACTCAGTGTTTTTCTTAGATTTTACTAACTAGAAGTACAGGATAATGAGTTACGTATAATTATACTTTAAGACTTCAACTATCAGAAACTAGATATCCTTCGAGACTACGGAAGCCAGGCATGTCGAGTCAGATTAGAATTCAAAAAACATAATTATCAGACAGGAAAATCTTTGCATGGGATTTATTTGAAAAATATCAACGTATGTTGTTATATCTTTAGCTGAAGATGCAGTAAGATTCCAATAAGCTGTAAGTAAAGATGAATTGCACGGAGAACAGATATGTGACCTACATATCTCACTCAAATCCCAACGTATTGCACGCGAAGATCAAATCCCAATTCCGTATATTTTCACCTCTAGGTCGTATCAATACCGTTCTTTTGAGACAACCGTCTTCATTAAACTTGAATACATATATTATATAGAAGAATTATATTATGAACCCTCCC